GGACCGCAGCGGAGCCGCGCGAACCCCGATGGGGAACTGGCCCCAGGGGAGTCCTACCGTGGGAATGGGGCTCTTCCCCTGGGGGGCACGGGCTGCAGCTGACGCCAGCCCCCTCCCTCGGAAGGGGCTGGAGGGCTGGCGGCCAGACGGCTGGAATGGCCGTCTGGGGTGGCGGAGGGCCCTGCTGGCTGCCGCCGCTGCTGCAGCTTTTGCTGCTGCTTTTGCTGCTGCTGCTGCTGCTACTGCTGCTGCTGCTGCTGCTGCTGCTGCTGCCAGGGGGTTGCCGTCCGCAGTCGTTGGCTGCGTGCTGTGGTGCTGTGGTGGTGCTGATCGTCACTGTGGTGCTGGTCGATGGCTGCGTGCTGTGGCGCTGGTCGTTTGGTGCGTGCTGTGTTGCTGGTCGTTGGTGTTGGTCGCTGTGGTGCTGGTCGTTGTGGTGCTGTGTGCTGCTGCTGCTGCAGCTGCTGCTGCAGCTGCTGCTGCTGCTGCTGCTGCCGCCGCCGCTGCTGCTGCTGCTGCTGCTGCTGCTGCGGCTGCTGCTGCTGCTGTGTTGGTCGCTGTCGCGCTGGTCGCTGTGGTGTTGGTCGTTGCTGTGGTGCTGGTCAATATCGCCGCCGTGGTGCTGGTCTTGGTACTGTGTGCTGCTGGCGTGGTGTTGCTGGTCTCGTGGTCTTTCCCTCAGTGGTCGCTGTGGTGTTGCTGGCTGTGTTTGCTGCTCTTGGGGCTGCTGGTCGCCGCCGCTGTGTTGCTCGTGGTGCTGCTGCTGGCCGCGGTCGTTGTCTTCGTTGTGGTGCTGGTTGTTGGGTGCGTGCTGTGGTGCTTGTCGCTGGTGCTGGTCGCTATCGTGCTGGTCGCTGTGGTGCTGTGTGCTGCCGCTGTGGTGCTGGTCGCTGTGTGCGCGTGCAGTGGCGCTGGTCGTTGGCTGCGTGCTGTGGTGCTGGTCGTTGTCGTCGCCGTGGTGCCGGTTGGCGCGGTGCTGGTGTGGTCGCCGTCGTGGTGCTGTAGCTGGTGGGGCTGGTAATGCCGCGGGTCGTAGTTGTGAGCAGGGCCTGCCGTGTAAAGCAAGGCGGAATGTAGCACAGCAGCTGGCCCGGTCGATTTCGCAACAGTTCTTGTCATGTGTGCATGGCTGTCGTGGCGGTGGTGCTGCTGCCGTTGTTTTTCGCCGTCGTGGCTGTGGCGGTGCAGCTGGTGCTGCTGGTGCTGCTGGTCGCAGTCGTGGTGCTGCTCGTTGCTGTCTTGGTCGCCGTCGTGGTGGGCGCCGTGGTGGGCGCCGTCGTAGTTTTCCTCCGCCTGTGGCCGCAGTTGGGTGCTGGCTGCTGTCGCTCTGGTCGCTGCGGTGCTGCCTGCTCTCGCAGCGCCCGTGGCGAAAGTGCGCTCTGGTCACGAGCGGCGCGCCCTCGCCGACACCCGCCCGCGCCATCTCACGGTCAGCGTCCTGTCGCCGGTGCGGGCGCCGGAGCTGAGAGTACCCATCCCCTTCATGGGGCGCTGGCTGTCCTGGCTTGGCCTCCTGGTCGCGGCGGCCCTCGCCACGCCTTCTCCTGCCGCCCTCCTGTGCCTCCTCACGCGGCTGCTGCTGTGCAGGCGGGCTCTGGTGCTGTCGCTGCCGCTCCTCGTCTCGTGTCGCCGCGCCCCTGGCTGCGGCGAGTGCCTTCCGGAGCTCGCTTTGCGCCCGCCTCGCGTCGAACCTCGCGGCCAGGCAAGCACGCCGACGCTCGAAAGCCGCCGCCTGCTCCACGAGCGCGTCGTGCTCGGCGTACGCGGCCTCGAGGGCACTGGCCGCCAGCCGCCGCGTGGCTCGCCGGCGGCCGCGGCGAAGGACCCGGCGAGCGTAGGCCGCCCGGCGCGGCGCCCTCTCGTTCGCGCCTGCCCCTTGCGGCGCCTCGTGGTCGCGTTGCGCCTCCTTTGCCTCCTCGTGCTGCTCTCTCGCCTCTTCCTCCTCGGCCTCGTCAGGTGCGTCGCCCGGTGCTGGCGCCGAGCGTCGCGGTTGCTGCTCTGGCTGTCGCGCCTGGCTCCCGAGTGGTCGCCTCGGGGGCCCTCGCCGCACCAGCGTCCAGAGGCCAGGCGGCGGACCCGGGTCGGGCGGCGACGGCGGCCCCACGCCGCTTGTCCAGGAAGCCCCCAGGGGGGTCCCCAGACCCTTCGTGGACCGGGTCTTCCTGGTTGGACCCTGGCGGTGTCCACCCCCAGGGGGGTCATGTCTGCCAGGGTCGGGCCGTCGCGTCGTGGCGCCAGGGCTGTCGTAGTCGTGCTGGTGCTGGTGCTGGTGCTGGTGCTGGTGCTGCTGTTGCTGGTGCTCGCCGTCGTTGCCCCGCCGCTGGTTGCGGTGCTGTCGCTTGTGCTCGTCTTCGTCTTGGCGGTGGTGCTGCTGCTGGTGCTGCTGGTCGCCGTCGCGGTGGTGCTGGCGGTTGCCGTTGTGGTGGCGGCGTTGCGGGGCGCCGTCGCGGCGGCGGCGGTGCTTCTCCTTTGCCGCTGCCGCCTCCTCCTCCTCCGACTCTGCCGCCTTTTATTCCTCTTCCTCCTCTTCCTCCTCTGCCGCTCTGCCTCTGGCCCTGCTCGGCGTCGCCCTCTGCCGTGCGCCCGGCCTCCCTTCAAAAGCGGTGGCCGCCCTCCCTGTGCAGCCTCTGCCTCTGTCGGCCTGCCTGGCGGGGCGTCGTCCCGGCAGCGGGGCCATCCCGGCGGGCGCCGCGGGCCGGCCCGCCGCCCCCGCCCTGCGCGAGCGCCCGGTCAGTTTGGCGGCTCTTTCTGGCTCGTCCTCGGCCTCTGGCGCGGCCGTGCTGCTGGCTCCGCCTGCGCGTCGCCTCCCCTCCTGCTGCGCCGCCTCTGCTCTCCCCGAGCGGCTGCGCGGCAGGTCGGCGTGCAAGCTCCTGCCCGCGGGCCCGGGCGAGGGCGCCATCGCGCGCAGGCCCGGCCCCCCCCCCACGCGCGCGCGGAAGTAAAACTTTACGTGGCCGCGCGTGCCTTCTTGAGGTTTCCCTTGGCCTTGAGCCAAAATGGCTACGGTGGTGGGGAGCGTGCGTAGCCAGTCAGCAGCTCTTGGACCTGAGGCTGACTTTCGTCTGGCTTGGTTTGCCTTGGTGGGCCTTGTCATGAATACGTTTTCCCTGTCGTAGGCGGTGCAGGTGGACACGCGTCACACTGCCAGCCATGCCGCCCTCCCCCTGGCTCGGCGGCTTCTGAGGTCCAGGTTGGTCTCTGGTGCCCTTCGCTTTCGAGCGCCTGTGCGGCCTCGGCGGCGGCGGCGTCGAGATTGCCCCTGCTGTCTGGCTGGTTGCCGTTGAGGTCGAGGATGTCCCTGATAACAGTAGCCTCGACAGGGCGCCGCTGGTGGAGCATGTGAAGGGCTTCTGCCCGCGCGCCCCAGTAGGCCGCCGGGAACGTGCGCGCGGCGCCTTTTTATCTCATTTCCTCTCCTACGCAGCGACAGCGTCGGGCCGGCCGCGCGCACTAGGCGCGCGCCTGGGCCCTCAGCCCCCGCAGCGCGGGCGACCTACCTCTTCGCGGGGGGGGGGGGCAGGCGCGCCCGCGCGGGCCGCCTCCTGTTTGGAAGAGATCTTTCCTTCCCCTCGTGGAGGCGGCCCGAGGGCATCATCGTCTGGGCGAGTCGTGGCAAGCGAAGTCGTCCTCGCAGACAGGGTCACCCCCTCCCCGCACACGACGTCGCACGGCGTCGCGGCGGACAGCGGGCACGGCGTCGCATGCAACCGGCCGGTCAAGGAGCGAGTCGTCGGAGCAAGTATTGGCATGTCGCGACAAACACCTTGGCTATCGCTACTTACCTCCACCCCCCAGCTCTCGCATAGCTAGCCGGAAGACAAAGGGCGGACAAAAGGCGCCGCAACGCCCGCGCAAACCGGGACGCACGGGGGGCCCACGACCACAAGAGCTGCGGGGGCCGCATCACCACCGTGAGGCAGGTCAGTGGCGCGCGCGAGGGAGCAGCATCACCGTAGAGAAGCTGGACAAAGGCACGCGCCGGCACCGGCGACGCTGACGAGGACAGGTGGTAGCATTACCACGGCGGCACACGGCGCGACGGCACCACCTTGCGTCGGTGAAGCACGATTACCTTCGGAAGCCCCGCGGCGCGGAAACTCCTGCCGCCACTTTCGGAAGTACCCGCTAAACGACACATGGCGTGGAACCCCCACGTCTGCCCACCCCTCAGCACGTCTGCTTCGCCTCGGGGCCCCACGGAGAGCAGAGATCAGCCAAGACACGCGAGCATGAACAAGGCAAGTATACATACACATGATACGCTCACTCGGTGTTCTATCAGACGATGCTCCCTACCCGCGCTAGGCCAGGCATTGCTCGAGAGCCCCTCCGCAGAGCGCTCACAGCACTGCTAGGATTCCGACGAACCAGTAGGTGCGCAGCCTGGCACGCAACATGTGGACAGACGAGGCTGGTCCAACACAGGGTAGCAACATTTTTGTAGACAGCGCGCGCAGGCAGGGGACCGCATCACCACTGCGAGGCAGGACCTGCGCACGCACGCTCTGTGACAGCCTGTTTTGGCACAGGAGGCCGCAACGCGATGGCGACGCCGACGCCGACGCCGACGCGACGACGACGACGACGACGACGACGACGACGACGACGACCACGACGACGACCACGACGACGACGTCAATCAGCGGCCTTCAACGCGGCCTTCAACGGACGAGGCCCCCTACCACGCACGAGTCGACAGCCCCCCCCCCGGAGCGGCCATACCCATGCTGCAATGGAAAATACATGACGGAGGCCCACGGGTGCACGACATGTGGACAACGGGGCCGCGTCATCACTGCGAGGCAGGGTTCTCGTTAACAGCGCGCGCAAGGAGGGGGCCGCATCGCGACTGTGAGGCAAGTACGCAAGCACGCTGCGCGCACGGAGGGGGCCACGTCGCCACTGAGGCAGGACGCGCGTACGCATGCGCGGCTTCGGTTTTCTGCGCGCTCGAGGCCGCAAAAGGCAGACCACGACGGCGACGACGACGCGCCATCGACATGGGGTTGCTCGTCGCGCCTGAAGCCCGAGTCCTCCGCGTCTCCCTGGCGTTGCTCGTGCGCGCGCCCGTCGTTCCTCCACTTGCGACGTGTCAGGGCCCCCGATGAGTCGGCGCAGGGTGGTCCCCATGTCTGCGTCGTGGCCTCTCGCGCACCCGGCAACTTGCCCAGGCGGACTCGTTCGTAGCAGGCGGGAAGGTTCGTTGCAGGCGGAAGCGTTTGTAGCAAAATTCGAGGAGTGCTCGTCGGAAGCGCTTCTCGCGCCGAGCGCTCAGGCACAGGGCGCCCCAGCCGCGTGCCGCGCTGACGACGCCGAGGCGTGCCGCCAGCGCACCCTAGAGAAGGCGGTGGCGCTGGTCAGGGCAGGCAGCCTCAGCAAAGCACGACAGTCGCTGGCGTCGCGCGGGCTAGCGCCAGGCACGGCCGAGACGCTGGCTGAGCTGCGGGACCCCGCTCGGCGCCCACCACTGCCCACAGCCGCGCTGCCGCCAGCTGCGCGCGCTATCAGCCCAGCCCGCTCGGTCGAGCAAGACCGCCGCGTCTGGACTGAGTGCGTCCGCTCTGCGCCGACGGGGCCTTCTAGCTCGCTGAGCGGTGCAAGCTCTGAGCTCCTCAAGTTGGCCTTGGACGAGGACGACGCGCTCGAGCTCCAGGCAGCCGTGGCGGAGGTGCACGCCCGGGCAGAGATTCCAGTGAGCGTCGCCCGCGCCCCTGGCACTGGCCGCTTGGCGGCGTTCCAGCGCGCCGCGTGCGCCCGCCTGCCCGCGCTCGGTGTGTCCTATGCCGTTCTTGTCCCTGAACCCCACAAGCTACCCGTGGGCATGCTCGGTCTGGACTTTGGACCGCATATGTGGCGCGAGTTCCGCCTGTGGGCTGTGGCACGCATGTCCGGGGCATGGCTCCTTCCTGTGCTTGGCGTGCCGTGCCTCCCTGTCGCCTGGGCTCGCTGTGCTGCGTGCAGCGCCTTGCACGTGGATATAGCCCATGCGCTCTGCGGGTGCCCCGAGCAAACTGCGCGGCGTGCGGAGTTGGAGACCCGCGCCCTGCTCCCGCCGCTGTCGCAGGCGGGCGTGCACCTGTACCAGCTCTTCCGCGACGGGCCGCCGCCCGAGCAGAGATGGCACCACGTACTCCTCGTGGCGCGCGCCCTGCACGATTCGATCGGCCCGGGCGGTTTCTGTCACAGGGAAGCCGCGTGACGTACGGACGGGCCTCGGTCTGCGTGCCTGAGGGGCCCCGCGCAGCCGCCCAGCACCGCGCGTCTGGGGCAGCAGCCGCTCCATCCCCTTTGCCTGGCCACCCTATCGTGCCTCCCGCCCCCCCCTCCCCCTCCGCTGCTTCGCGTATCTCCCCTGCCGTTGCCCGTCCCCGAGCCGTCTGCGGCCGGGGGGGGGCAGGGGCGCCGCCTCGTTCTTTTCCAAGGTGCGCACCAGGGAGGGGTAGCGCGGGCCACGGGGCCAGTGCGCCGTTGCCTGCTGCGGCGCCTGGGCTGACCCACGACGGAGGTGAAAGACCCTACCCGAGACGGGGCCAGCCCCGTGGCCCTTGCCCTGGGGTCGCAGGGGCGGCTGCGACCTGAGCGGGCCGTGCGCCGGGGGGCGCTGGGGCGGTGCGCGACCGCGCGCGGCGCTCCGGACCCCGCCGCTGTGGTATGAAATGAAATGAAAATGAAAAACGGCCGCGCGCGAGGGATAGTGGCAGAATATGCCTTCCACAGGCTCGTCGCGAAGGCGCTCTCTCGGCAGTTCGGGGCCGAGATGGGCGACGCCTGCGCGCCTTCCCAGTGCGCGCTGTCGACGCGAGCTGGTGCAGACAGCGCGGCCCGCTTCCCCCGCGCCGCTGCTGACGCTGACGCCGCCGCAACCATCGTGAGCACTCTGTGAGTGGAGGCCGCCAGGGCCAAGCACCGCCCGGCTGTCCGTCCGCCGCGTTACCAACGTGGCGGGGGGGGAGTGCTGGCGTGGGTTGATCGTCGTCGTCGTGCTGTCGCTGTGTCGTGCCCAGAGCATCCTGCAACACCGGCGATGCCTAGCGCTAAGCATCGCCGGGACGGATGCTTAGTGCAAGACATCCGGCATTGCGCAACATGAATTGCGCTGATGCCTTCTGAACTTGTTTAATTACCTAACAGCTTGTTCTGATAGGTTTCTAGTAGGGTCAAAAGAGAGCAGCAGATGACTCCACAGGGGGGTCTGGGCGGGTGCCGGACAGGGTGCCGCAGAAGTCGTTTTAAGCCAACAGTCACACACTTCGTGCTCTTCGACCTCCCAGAACTCCATTCCCGGGCCACATTCTGAATGCCCGGAGCCAACTGTAGGCCACTTCGTGCTCTTCGACTTCCCAGAACTCCATTCCCGGGCCACATTTTGAATGCCCGGAGCCAACTGTAGGCCACTTCGTGGTCTTCGAGTCCCCAGAACTCCATTCCCGGGCCACATTTTGAATGCCCGGAGCCAACTGTAGGCCACTTCGTGCTCTTCGAGTTCCCAGAACTCCATTCCCGGGCCACATTTTGAATGCCCGGAGCCAACTGTAGGCCACTTCGTGCTCTTCGAGTTCCCAGAACTCCATTCCCGGGCCACATTTATGATTTTGAAGCCGTAGCCACTGTAGGCAACTTCGTGCTCTTCGACTTCCCAGAACTCCCACTCCTGGGCCACATTTTCAGCAGGGGCAAGAGCACGACGAGGAGGAGGACGAGCAAGACCAGGAGGACGAGGACGAGCAGGAGCAGGACGAGGAGCAGGAGGAGCAGGAGAAGAAAGACGAGCAGGAGGAGGAGGAGGACGAGCAGGAGGAGGAGGACGACCAGGAGGAGGAGGACGACCAGGAAGAGGAGGAGGAGGAGGAGGAGGAGGAGGAGGAGGGGAGGGGGAGGACTACCAGGAGGAGGAGGAGGAGGAGGAGGAGGAGGAGGAGGAAGAGGAGGAGGAGGAGGAGGAGGAGGAGGAGGAGGACGAGGAGGAGGAGGAGGGGGGGGGAGAGCTGCCTTTTCGTCGAGATGCTGTTCGACCCAGAGATGCTCCTACACATGGCTGTTAGGTTGCTTTGCCGGGATAATATATGTGTTTTTTTTCGGCCCGGCCTCGAGCGACACGCTGACGTTTACCGAAACATGTATTGATTTGATGGTGTTTCTTAAACGATATCTTGGGCTGGTAATGAGATTTGCGAGGATGTCGCTGGCAAAACGCATGATGCCCAGTCGGGGTGCCCGCGCGGCGTTAGAGCCTGGGCAATTGGGCCCATGCCCTCCCGCGCACGCAGCATTAATGCCACGCGCCCTGCATCGCATGCAGCTCACACTCCCGACTGCGTTTTTACTTAACAGCTTGTTCTGATAGGTTTCTAGTGGTGTCAAAAGAGAGCAGCAGATGACTCCACAGGGGGGTCTGGGCGGGTGCCGGACAGGGTGCCGCAGAAGTCGTTTTAAGCCAACAGTCACACACTTCGTGTTACACACTTCGTGTCTTCGACCTCCAGAACTCAATTCCCAGAACTCAATTTCCCGGGCCACATTCTGAAGTGCCCGGAAGCCAACTGTAGGCCACTTTTCGTGCTCGTTTGCGAACTTCCCAGAACTCCATTCCCGGGCCACATTTTGAATGCCCGGAGCCAACTGTAGGCCACTTCGTGGTCTTCGAGTCCCCAGAACTCCATTCCCGGGCACATTTTGAATGCCCGGAGCCAACTGTAGGCCACTTCGTGCTCTTCGAGTTCCCAGAATTTCACTCCCGGGCCACATTTTGAATGCCCGGAGCCAACTGTAGGCCACTTCGTGCTCTTCAAGTTCCCAGAACTCCATTCCTGGGCATGATTTTGAATGCCCGGAGCCAACTGTAGGCCACCTCGTGTTCTTCTAGTTCCCAGAACTTCATTCCTGGGCCACATTTTGAATGCTGAGGCAGGCTGATGCTGCGGCCGAGGCAGGCTGAGGCTGAGGCAGGCTGAGGCTGAGGCCGAGGCCGAAGGCAGACTGAGGCTGAGGCTGAGGCTGAGGCAGGCTGAGGCTGAGGCTGAAGCAGGCTGATGCTGAGGCAGGCTGAGGCTGAGGCTGAGGCTGATGCAGGCTGAGGCTGAGGCAGGCTGAGGCTGAGGCCGAGGCTGAAGGCAGACTGCGGCTGAGGCTGAAGCAGGCTGAGGCTGAGGCTGAGGCTGAGGCAGGCTGAGGCTGAGGCTGAGGCAGGCTGATGCTGAGGCAGGCTGAGGCTGAGGCTATGACTGCGACTGCCGTTGCCACTGCGACTGTCATCGCGAATGCGACTACGACTGCGAGAACAGCAGAATTCTACAACTGGATTCTCATCTGAATCTGAAGGGGAATGCTTCCAGATATGCTCCTACACATCGCTCTTAGGTTGCTTTGCCGGGATAATTTCAAGGCGGCGGATTTGAAGCGAACGAGGGGGACAGGGGAGTGCGAGGGAGGAGTTTAACGTTCACATGTGTATATATATATATATATATATATATATATATATATCTGTGTGTATGCGCACGCTCGGGAATGCAACGAGGCATGCGCGCGAACGAACGCGCCCGCGCACGCACGTGTAAATGCACGAACGATCGCACACGCGCACGTGTGTATGTATATATATATATATATATATATATATATATATATATGCA